CACCAGGACCACACCAGGAGCACATTAGGACAACACCAGGACCACATCAGGACCACACCAGGACAACACCAGGACAAAACCAGGACCACACCAGGACCACACCAGGACAAGACCAGGACCACACCAGGATCACACCAGGATCACACCAGGACCACACCAGGACCACACCAGGATCACACCAGGACAACACCAGGACAACACCAGGACCACACCAGGACCATACCAGGACCACACCAGGACAACACCAGGACCTCACCAGGACCACACCAGGACCACACCAGGACCACACCAGAACAACACCAGGACCACACCAGGACACACCAGGACAACACCAGGACAACACCAGGACAAAACCAGGACCACACCAGGACAACACCAGGACCACACCAGGACCACACCAGGACAACACCAGGACAAAACCAGGACCAAACCAGGACCACACCAGGATCTCACCAGGACCACACCAGGACAACACCAGGATCACACCAGGACAACACCAGGATCACACCAGGACCACACCAGGACAACACCAGGATCACACCAGGACAACACCAGGACAACACCAGGATCACACCAGGACAACACCAGGATCACACCAGGACCACACCAGGACAACACCAGGATCACACCAGGACAACACCAGGACAACACCAGGACAACACCAGGACAACACCAGGACCATACCAGGACCACACCAGGACAACACCAGGACAACACCAGGACCTCACCAGGACCACACCAGGACCACACCAGGACCACACCAGGACCACACCAGAACAACACCAGGACCACACCAGGACACACCAGGACAACACCAGGACAACACCAGGACAAAACCAGGACCACACCAGGACAAAACCAGGACCACACCAGGACAACACCAGGACAACACCAGGACCACACCAGGACAACACCAGGACCACACCAGAACAACATCAGGACCACACCAGGACAACACCAGGACAACACCAGGACCACACCAGGACAACATCAGGACCACACCAGGACAACATCAGGACAACACCAGGACAACACCAGGACAACACCAGGACCACACAGCCAGAACTCTTCTAAAACTAATCCAGAACCTTTTTCTGGTTGCAGTCTGGGTCACAAGACTTCCTTTATGACCCGTCTCTGTCTCTGTCTCCGTCTCTGTCTCTGTCTCCGTCTCTGTCTCCGTCTCTGTCTCTCAGGCTGAATTAAAAACTGTTTCTGCAGAATGAAGTCAGCATTTTAGGCCATCAGGGATCAGGACTCACCTGTGTCCTGTGGTCCTGTGGTCCTGTGGTCCTCTGGTCCTGTGGTCCTGATGCAGCAGTAGGAACAGACAGTTCTGTGGGGGGACAGTCGGTCCTGATAAGACTCTAAATTTAACAGAAACACCTCGCTGGTCACATCGTGTCCCGGTCCTGCTTATCTCCCCTCTCCCAGCAGCTCCATGGCCATACAAGGTTCTGACGGGCCCAGGCCCGTCCAGCAGCTCCTCGTCCCCACAGACACGTGGCGAGATAAGGACCGACATCTGATGGCAGCCTGTGGAATCCTGCTCTAAGTGTTCCCTTTGTCCCGGGCCTGATTTTCCACAGGGACAAGGTGAYGTCCAGAACCTGCGGACCTGAGGTCCAGGTCTGAGTGTCACCTCAGCACAAGTACAACTGTCACTCTGTGGTTCTGGTCCACTTAAAGGAGAACCCAGCCTGAAATGTTCTGCCCCTGTCAGTGAAAATAAACACAACCATCTCAGAACTGTTCTGGTGGTCCCGGTGGGTCTGGAGACAGAACCAGAAGGTGATGGGGGGCAGCAGGTAGAACCACAGAGTCAAAGGTAAGCAGCCTGTTGGATCAAAGCAGGAGGTTCTGATGGTACCACAGGGTTCTGTGGACTGCACTTCCTGTTTGGAAGCTCAGATTAATTGAAGCAGTTTAAACTGAGATTAAATGATGAACATTTGTGCTCCTGACACTAAAGAAGACCTGCTCACCTGTGCTGTCCTGTGGGGGGCGCTACAGACCACTAACAGCACAGACTCTGTAAAAACAGTTTTTATTTTTCATCCAATCTAACTCTGATCCTCTGTTTCAGATTAATTCATGTTCATAATTATAAAAATCAGTTTTAGGGAAGTAAAGAGATGTTGGAGGTCTGGTTTTAACTCATAAACTGTTTTACAGTGTTGTAGAAAGTACCTCAAATTGATACTTGAGTAAAAGTACAAGTATCTTATCATAAAAATACTTTGGTAAAAGTTAAAGTCTTCTCTAAAAATATTACTTGAGTAAAAGTCTTAAAGTATCTTATCATAAAAATACTTTGGTAAAAGTTAAAGTCTTCTCTAAAAATATTACTTGAGTAAAAGTCTTAAAGTATCTTATCATAAAAA